CCTTGTTGGCTTGGTCAACCCTTGTTGGGTTGAAGGCCCCACCATGAGGTTCTCCAACCCTTGTTGGGTTGAAGGACCCACCACAAGGTTCTCCAACCCTTGTTGGCTTGAAGGACCCACCATGATGTTCTCCAAACCTTGTTGGGTTGAAGGCCTCACCACCAGGTTCTCCAACCCTTGTTGGGTTGAAGGTCTCACCACCAGGTTCTCCAACCCTTGTTGGGTTGAAGGTCTCCCCACCAAGTTCTCCAACTCCTCATGTCTTCATCGCTGCCCGACCGCGCCCACTTTGCCCCACCCTCTGCCACCCGCAGACCCCACCCCACGTCCCAGCCCCACCCTGCCCCGCCCAGGGGGGCGTGGTCGTACCTGGCAGGAGTCTTGGCCACCGCGGACATTGCCGGCGCAGATCATGTTGGCCGTGATGGAGTTGGGGTAGAAGCTCCGGCACTCGGCCGCCGAGAACAGGGTGACGTTGACGCACTGAAGGACCTCCGGGTACGTCACTGGGACACCAAAAACCCTCGTCGGGACACGCCCGGGACATGCCCCCGGGACACGCCCGGGACACACCCAGGACACGTCCCAAAGGGAGGGACACGCCCCCGGCTCGTGGGTTTGAGGGGACAGAAAGGGGTCAAGGGTGGGGTCGGGGGTCAGGGGGCCACGAGAGGAGACGTGTGGCCAGGAGGGGACCCAGATGACCATGGAGTGACCAGGAAAGGACCCAGATGACCAAAAAGGGGACCCAGGTGACCATGAAAAGACCCAGATGACCATGAGAAGACCCAGGTGACCATGGAGTGACCAGGTGAGGACCCAGATGACCACGAGGTGACCAGGTGACCATGAGCCGACCTAGATGACCAGGAGGGGACCCAGGTGACCATGAAGTGACCATGAGCTGACCCAGATGACCACGAGATGATCAGGAAAGGACCCAGATGACCAAGTGACCATGAGAAGACCCAGGTGATGACCATGAAAGGACCCAGATGACCAGAAAAGGACCCAGATGACCAGAAGGTGACCCAGGTGACCATGAGGTGACCAGATGACCATGAGGTGACCAGGAAATGCCCCAAGTGACCATGAGGTGACCCAGGTGACCAGGAGAAGACCCAGGTAACCATGAGGTGATGGGAAAGGACCCAGATGACCAGGAGGTGACCAGGAAAGGACCCAGAGGATCAGAAAAGGACCCAGATGACCATGAGGAGACCCAGGTGACCATGAGCTGACCGAGATCACCACAAGGTGACCAGGTGAAGACCCAAATGACCAGGAGGTGACCCAGATGACCAGGAGATGACCAGATGACCATGAGGTGAATAGGAAAGGACCCAGATGACCAGGAGGTAACCCAGGTGACCAGGAAGTGACCCAGATGACCAGGAAGTGACCCAGATGACCATGAGAAGACCCAGGTGAACAGAAGATGATAAAAAAAGACCCAGATGACCAGGAAGTGACCCAGATGACCACGAGGTGACCAGGTGACCACGGAGTGACCAGGAAAGGACCCAGATGCCCACGAGGTGCCCAGATGACCATGAGGTGACCAGATGACCATGAGATGACCAGGTGACAACCCAGATGACCAGATGATCAGGAGGTGACCAGGTGACCATGAGAAGATCCAGATGACCATGAGTTGACCAGGAAAGGACCCAGATGACCAGGAGGTGCCCAGATGACCATGAGGTGCCCAGATGACCATGAGGTGACCAGGAAAGGACCCAGGTGACCACAAGATGACCAGGTGAGGACCCAGATGACCAAATGACCACAAGGTGACCACAAGGTGCCCCAGATGACCACAAGGCCCCCCCTCACAACCCCTAACCCCCCCCCAGATACCCCCAACCCCTCCCAAACTCCCCCCGGGCTACCTTCTGGAGAGGTGGTGGCCCCCCATCCCGAGGTGACGCAGGCGGTGCCGGGCCGGGGCAGGCACGAGGCCACCGGGATGGGCCGGACGCGCTCGGACAGGGCGGCCGGAGCCAGGAGCTTGAGCAGCATGATGTCGTTGTCCTTGGTGGAGGGGTCGTAGTCCGGGTGGGCCACCCGCTTGGCCACCATGCGCCGCTCCTCGCCCACCTCGCGCCCGTACAGCCGGTGTTTGCCCAGCGCCACCGTGGTCACCCTGCGGGGGGGGACACGAGTGACCACAAGGTGACCACAAGGTGACCACGAGGTGACCACAAGGTGACCACGAGGTGACCAGATGTCCATGGGGTGACCCAGGTGACCAGGAGGGGATCACGGTGACCAGGAGGTGACCAAGGTGACCCCGAGGTGACCAGGGGACCATTAGAGGACACAAGTGACCACAAGGTGACCATGAGGTGACCCAGGTGACCATGAGGTGGCCAAGGGGATCAGGAGGTGGCCAAGGTGACCACAAAGTGACCAGGAGGTGGCCAAGGTGACCAGGAGGTGAGCCAGGTGACCAGGAGGTGACCCAGGTGGCCAGGAAGTGACCAAGGTGACCACAAGATGGCCAAGGTGACCACGAGGTGACCAGATGTCCATGAGCTCACCAAGGTGACCAGGAGGGAATCACAGTGACCAGGAGAGGACTCAGGTGACCAGGAGGTGACCAAGGGGACCACAAGGTGACTCAGGTGGCCAGAAGTCCATGAGGTGACCAAGGTGACCATGAGATGACCAGATGTCCATGGGGTGACCCAGAGGATCAGGAGGTGACTCAGGTGACCAGGAGGTGGTCAAGGTGATCACAAGGTGACCAGAAGGTGACCAGATGTCCATGGGGTGACCCAGGTGATCAGGAGGTGGCCAAGATGACCGGGAGGTGACCAAGGTGACCAGGAGGTGAGCAGGAGGTGATCAAGGTGACCCAGGTGGCCAGGAAAGGACCCAGGTGACCAGGAGGTGGCCAAGGTGACCAAGGTGACCATGAGGTGGCCAAGGTGAGTGGGAGGTGGCCAAGGGGATCTGGAGGTGGCCAAGGTGACCACAAGGTGACCAGATGTCCATGAGGTGACCCAGGTGACCCCAAGGTGACCATGAGGTGACCGGGTGACCACAAGGTG